CTCCTGCTTTCCCGTCCTGCTGCTTTGGGCAGGCCTGAGTTTCCTCTCCTCACCTAATCCCTTTGGCTGACTGCTCTTCTGTCCGGGTTCCTGGTTTTTAATCCCCTTTCTCCTGCTCTTCCGGCCTGCTGCTTTAGGCGTCCCTGAGTTGTGTCTCCTCACCTGTAACCCTGGGGCTGACTGCTCTTCTGTCTGGGTCCTGGCTTTAATCCCCTTTCTCCTGCTCTTCCGGCCTGCTGCTTTAGGCGTCCCTGAGTTGTCTCTCCTCACCTGTAACCCTGGGGCTGACTGCTCTTCTGTCTGGGTCCTGGCTTTTATCCCCTTTCTCCTGCTCTTCCAGCCTGCTGCTCTGGGCGGGCCTGAGTTTCCTCTCCTCGCCTTATCCCTTCAGCTGATTGCTCTTCTCTCTGGCTTCCTGGCTTTTAATCCCCTTTCTCCTGTTCTTCCCACCTGCTGCTTTGGGCGTCCCTGAGTTGTCTCTCCTCACCTGTAACCCTGGAGCTGTTCACAGACACTTAGGTTATTTCCATCTCTTTGCTATTGTGAATCATGCTGCAATGAATGTGAGTGTGCATATATCTGCTCTTGTCCTGGCTTTCACTTCTTTAGGATATATACCTAGTAATTGGATTGCAGGGGATCAAATGGTATTTTTAATTCCAACTTTTCAAGGAATTTCCATACTGATTTCCACAGTGATTGTATCATTTTACAGTCCCACCAGCAGTATATGAGAGTCTAAATCTCTCCACATTCTCACCAACATTTGTTATTTTCTGTCGTGTTGAACTTTGCTATTGGTGCTGAGGCAAGATGTATCTCAAGGCTGTTTTGATTTGCATCTCTCTCTGGTGGCATAGTGCCTAAGGCATTTGACTGATAACCAGAAGGCCAGCAGTTCAAACCCACCAGCCACTCCTCGGAAGGAAGAATGGGCAATCTACTTCTGTAGTGATATTGCCTTGGAAACCCAAGGAGGGGTCGCTATGAGTCAGATCTGACTCAAAAGCAGTGAGTTTAATGGCTAATGATCATGAACATTTTTTCATGTGTTTGTTAGCTGCCTGAATATCTTCTTTGGTGAAGTGTCTATTTATGTCTTCTGCCCATTTTTAATTAGATTGTTTGCCTTTTTGTTGTTGAAGTGTTGGAGTTTTCTATAAATTTAGAGATACGTCCCTTGTCAGGTATGTCATTGTCAAATATTATTGCCCAATCTGTAGGTTTTCTTTTTACTCTTTTGAAGAAGTCTTTTGAAGGACATAAAAATTTAATTTTTAGAAGCTTCCAATCATCTAGTTTCTCTTCTGTTGTTTGTGCATTTTGGTTGATGTTTATTAGTTGTCTATTTATGCCACAAATTAGGGCCCTGAAATTTGACCCAGTATTTCCTTGAGGAACTTCATGGTTTTAGGTTTTATATTTATGTCTTTGATCCATCTCAAGTTAGTTTTTGTTTATGGTGTGAGGTATGGATCTTGCTTCATTTTTCTGCAACCAGTTTTGCCAGCATCATTTGTTAAAAAGACCATCTCTTCCCCATTTAATGGATTTTGGCCCTTTGCCAAAGATCAGCTGCCCATAGGTCAATGGATCTATTTCCAGGTTCTCAATTCTATTCCATCGGTCAATGTGTCTGTCATTATACCTATACCAGACAGAGGTATACCTGTGTATTTTTATGTGCTGCAAATATATCAATGAACATAGAAGAACACACACGGGGCAAAGTTATGAAAACTTGTTAGTTACAGCCAAACACCTTGAGGGAGTAAGTCGCTGGGCCTGGGAGCTGAGAACTATAGTCTTGGGGAACACTAAGGTCAATTGGCATAACATAGTTCACAAAGACAGTGTTCTACCATCCTACTTTGGTGAGCAGTGACTGAGGTCTTAAAAGTTTGTGAGCACAGGGAGGAAGTGGGAAGAGGGTTATTACATTATAGGGACTGCAACCAATGTCATGAAGCAAAATGTATAGGAACTATTGAATGGAAAATGAATTTGTTCTGTAAATTTTCACCCAAATCACAATTTAAAAAATTTCTTTAAAAAAGCTTGTGAGTGGCTATCTCAGGTGCAACTATTGATCTATTACATTCCAGGGCAAAGAAGAGTGAAGAAAATCAAAGACTCAAGGAAACAAACAATCCAAAAGACCAATGGACCATGTGAATCCCAGCCTCCATGACCCTGAGACCAGGAGAACTAGATGGTGCCACTATCACTGCTATCACTCTGAAAGGGATCACAATAGGAAGTGGGAGAAAAACATGGAACAAAACTCAAAATCAT